TTGCTCAAAATACAAAAGAGGGTAAAAAAAAATCCTTATTTAAGGGGCTGGGCAATCACTCCTATAAAGAGTGACAGCCTACTGCCTATATCAGCGAAATGTGACTTGTTAGTAGATCTTGCCTTGCTGATCATTTTTGTGATTTAAAGTGTATATTTATCTATTATAATTTTTATCATGTAAGGCAAAACCCCCAAAAAATGATAAAAATCGTAATTACAGGCAATAACTCCAAGGAGACGTCGGAAGATTTCCTCTATATTGTCTTAATTGTCAGGGGCTTATCTGGGTATTTTGGGAAAAAGGACCCTGGCCAGTTTTGAAATTTTTTACGTGATTTTCAATGAAATTGGGAAAATAACAAATATACCAGATGTGAGTTTAAGCGTGTTTAGTTCATTAAAAATTATCTTTTTTTTTTTGTGAAAATAAAGTAAGAAACTACATGATTACTATTTATAATTTTATTTTCTGTTCTTTTGTTTTTAAACTTAAGGATGTTCGCTACTCTGTTTCAAAATAACAAGCTTTTCAAAAGACTGTTAAAAGTTGATAGGATATAAATGAAGGAACTAAAAAAGTAGAAAAAAATTGAGGGTTAGTGTTCTTGTTTTCGAGATATAAGCCATTGAAAATCGGGCGGGAAATGACTCTCTTTAGATTTTTCATACATTTTACATTGGCACCCTTTTTCTTTCAAAAACAATGAAAAAATAATAAGGATTTTATAAGATTTTCAAATATGGCCTTTTAAATTATATGTAATAAAATTTTGAAAAGAAAAATGGGGGTTAGCAGGCAAAATTTTTTAATGACACTACATGGATAAAACCAGAGGATTCCAAATATCTGGCAAAAATTCAAAAACAAGAGGAGCGAACATCCTTAACAACAAGGCACTCAAGTTTATTTTAGTATCAAAATATCGTAGTTCTTACAGCACACATGTGATAAAAATTACACAGAAAGACAGTAACAACCTAACAGTTAACATGGTTAATATAATAAATAATTCAGAGATAGAAATAAGATGTATTTTAACTAGCCAAGCAGGCTAACACTTTTTAAATTCACTTGCTCTTCCAGATTTTTACCGGCCCTTCAAAATTGAGAAGAAATTACCTTTTGGATCTGTAGTTATATATTTACATTATAAAAACATCTAATATCAACATTTTTTAAGGATAAAGAAAAGAAATGTCACATTTTATTGGATTTTGACATGAAATTTTGTGAACTAAAAATAATTTTGAGTTTCTGTATACCATGTATAAATTATTTCCTGTTTCTTCTTTCTTTTTCATATACTAGTATCTTTTGGTTTGCAATTCTAGTGTTTATATTTCATAGCTGTATTTTGTCACCTGCCTGGAGTTTTCTTTTTTTAATCTATTTATTGCATTTGACTGGCAAACCCGGAATTAGCCATATCCACTCCAGGAATCTGATCCGGTATTGTAATTGTCTACATTTCCAGTTTATGGCAGCCATTGTTTGTCAATGTTGTTTTTGCCAGTCAGATATGTTTTTACTCAGAATTATACATCAAATGTTGGCGATTTTTCGGCATAAAGCTAGTGGTTGAACAAAATGAACATCACTGTCATGAATAATAAAGATGAAAATGAATTTTGAGCTATTTGGGAATTTTGCTCCAAAAATTGGGAAAAATGTAGGGTTTTTGCCATTGGGAATGGGTCCTAATACCGGACGGACCCTGTGGAATGCTAGAAAAATCCATGATTGTAGATCTTGTCTTGCTGATCAGTTTTGCTTATTTAAGTTTCTATCTATCTATTATAATTTTTAAGATATAAGTCAATAAAATGCTCCGCTGGGGCGCAGCTTGATACGACCGCAGAGGTCGAACCCTGAACAGTTGGGGCAAGTATGGACACAACATTTAAGCTTGATACAGCACTGAATTTGGATTGCAATTAAATATTTGACACAGCATAGGTTTCTGACACAGAATAAATGTGGTCTAAGAACTTAAAATTTTTTAATTTATCTATTCAAACCATATCATTATTATTTGCTTTTATATATAAATCAGAAATAACCAATTTAAAATGGAAAATTTTAAAGAAAAAAAGGAAAAAAAAATCCCCCCCCCCAAAAATTTTTTGAACCCCCTTATGATTCATCACCCCCAAACTCAATCCCAGCCTTCCCTTTGTGGTATGGTACCTTGCAGTACACATACATGTGATGGACTGTGAAACTAAGATCAGGAGTTTTGGAGATTAGGACTCAGATCAGGATGTTTTTAATCGACATAAATTCTGTCGTAAATGTAACCGTGTGCTGTAGAAATTGTCTGTTAAAGTGTGTTTTCTTCAACTTTCCATCCGAATGTATTATGTCTATAGTACCTTTGTACTAATAAATTTTCTCTATCTTTTTAAACTTTCAACTTGTTCAATCTAACATTCTTCTTTTTCAGTATGTTCTTTAAATTTTTTTAGGTTATCTTTTTTACCATTTTTCATTGCAATCTGAACATTTGCTTATCTATCTGCAAGTAGATCTTTTATTTTTATCTTTATGCAAGTAGATTTTTAATGCATGATAAGTAACACAATCAAACTCTATGCATGGGTCATAGTTAACCCTCAAATAATTTTCAAATTATTATTTTTTTATTTGTCCTAAAACATTTAAAACCATTTAATTACCATCCTTTTATGATTATTTGTTCAATTAATATTTTATTTATATTCTTTTAAAAATTTACATTATTTAAAGGAAAGTAACTTAAAACAATATAAATCAAGGGAAGTAACCCAACATTCATTTTAAATAAACAAAGTTTTATTACACAACAGCAGTTAGCCTGAGGTAAAAATCGTTTATTACCAGTATGTTTGACACCCAAGGTGACAAGTGAGGCCATATAATTATGCATGTTAATTGATTTACAGGTAAAATATAACTTCAGTAATGTCAGTTACACCAGATATGTTGGGCTGAAATTTTTCATTCATGAAATATTTCATACACAGGATTTTTTTGTCTTCAACGGGAGGTCGGGAGGAGACCCCTGAAAACGGGATTATTGTACTCCTGTCGGGAGGTTCACATGTATGAACTGTACAATTTCAGAGAGATCCATACACTTGAACACAAGTTATTGTCTGGAAACAAGAAAAATGCTTGTTTTTTGGCCCCAAATTCCTAAACATTTAGGGCAATTACCCCCAAACTCAAACCCAGCTTTCCCTTTGTGATATGGAACCTTGCAGTACAATTTCATAAAGATCCATACACTTACACACAAGTTATTGTCCTGAAACTAGAAAAAATGCTTGTTTTTTTGCACCTTTATGGCCCCTAATTCCTCAAATTTATAGGGAATTACCCCCAAAATCAATCCCAGCCTTCCCTTTGTGGTTTGGTACCTTGAAGTACAATTTCAGAGAGATTCATACACTTGAACACAAGTTATTGTCTGGAAACTAGAAAAATGCTTATTTTTGGCCCCTTATTCCTTAACGTTGTGGGCAATTACCCCCAAAATCAATTCCAGCTTTCCCTTTGTGATATGGAACCTTGTAGTACAATTTCATAAAGATCCATACACTTACACACAAGTTATTGTCAGGAAACTAGAAAAAATGCTTGTTTTTTGCCCCTTTTTGGCCCCTAATTCCTAAAATTTGGAGGCAATTACCCCCAAAATCAATCCCAGCATTCCCTTTGTGATATGGAACCTTATGGTACAATGTCAGAGAGATCCATACACTTACCGTATTTTGCGGATTAAAAAGCGCACCCCTAAATAAGGCGCACGGCCGTTTTTGGGGGTGAGGATTGTTTTTTTCCTTACATAAAGCGCACCTGCATATAAAGCGCACAATGTCAGAGAGATCCATACACTAACACACAAGTTATGTCTGGAAGTTACAAAAATGCTTATTTTTGGCCCCTTTTTGGCCCCTAATTCCTTAACTGTTGATACCATAACCCCCAAAATCAATCCCCACCTTCCTTTTGTGGTATTGAACCTTATAGTAAAATTTCATAGAGATCCATTCACTTTAACTAAAGTTAGAGTGCGAAAACCAATGTGTCTTCGGACGACGACGACGCCAACGCCAACGTCATACCAATATACGACCACAAAATTTTTTTGCGGTCGTATAAAAACACAAAAAATTGGTAAAAATCATCATCAAAGAGCAATAACTCTAATAAGGAGTCAGCTGAAGATTTCAACAATGGAACTTATTTGTAGAACTTGTCTTGCTGATCATTTTTGCAATGTAATGTTTCTCTGTATCTATTACAATTTTCAAGATAATAGGCAAAAATGAAAAAAAAAATGGTAAAATTTGTCATTTAAGGGCAATAACTCCTATAAGAAGTCGTCTGACAATTAAGACTTATATGGACAATTGGTAGAGCTCAACATTTTGAACATTTTTGTTCCAGTCAGATTTTCTCTATTCATAACAGTTTTCAAAATAATAGAAAAAACTTGCATTTTTACCCTATGATCTATTTGTAGCCATGGCAGCCATGTTGGTTGGTAGGCGGGGTCATCGGACACATTTTTTAAACTAGATACCCCAATAACAATTCTGGCCAAGTTTGGTTAAATTTGGCCCAGTATATTCAGAGGAGAAGATTTTTGTAAAAGTTAACCAACGACAACAGACAACGGACGACAGACGCCAAGTGATGAGAAAAGCTCACTTGGCCCATTGGGCCAGGTGAGCTAAAAAGATGAGTGGATAAGTGATTTATCAAATTTCCAAAACAAAAAATATGATTAAAAAGAAGAAATACAGATTACAAAGAGTCAAACACTTTGGAACACCAGCCACTAATAAGTATATGTATAAATATGCACAGGTTAAAGTAAAAAGATTTGCTGTTTTTTTTTACCAAAACAGTTAAACAGCTCAATGACAAAATATGCAATTCAATGTTCCTAAACTACTACAAATAGGTTATGATGATTTGTTAAATGATGAAACAGAAAAAAAACTTGCTACCTGTTTTGTGTGTCAGACCTAAAACAATATAAAACATCTGAATATATTACTTTACTGTTTAGTACATTTACTACTTAGATAATATTACATGCTGAAGGTACTAAATGTTTTAAGAGATTTTGTACACACAAGACCTTGGAGCATGCCAGTTTCACTTGTAAAATTTAGTGGAGTTATACAGTGTCATATTTTTTTCACCCTTTATTACAGGAAAATTGTCAAAACTTGTTTCAAATTAGCTTAATAATGTATTCAACTTAAAAAATAAACATGACAGACAAATGCTTTTGAAGTCCTACATTACAAACAATTAAAGATGTGTGTTTTAACTCTATTGAGACCAAATTGTAAATATCCTGCAAAATTTAAAGATCACCTTAAAAATAAACATTTCAACTAATTTCTCTGAAATCTTACCATTCATCAGCAGATGGGACCTGGTTATCAATCTGTAAGAAATCTCTTTGGCTCATCCAATCATCACTCAGAAATTTTGTCCTGGTAAAAAATGTTCATCTGTTACAAATGCAGGAGAAGATAGTGTTTAATTAATAAGTGTGAATTGTTAAATAATAGTCCATACAAGAATCATGCAAATCCAAATTCTATGATACACTCATGAAAGGTTATAAATATCTATTTTTGTCCATCTGCTGCAATATGGGTGTAGATGAAAGGAACAAGTTATATTTTCCATTTACCAGTCAGGGGACTTACTTAATGAGTGATTTTCTAAATCACTGAATCAAGTAACATTATGTCCATAAAGGTTGGAAGTAAGAGTTGTCTTTCTTTAATAATCACCTATTTAAGTAGTACAAATTAATCACTAGACTAAGTGATTTAATTTTATTGTAGCTTTAAATATAGAATACTAATGATCCAGGGACTAATTATGTTGCTAAAATTATCAGAACCAACATCTGTGTTGATAGGATGACCGGGTCATGTCAGGTGATGACCTTGTAATAAATCTAGGATAATGACATAAAAATCACTTGTTTAAGTATCATACCTCAATTTTCTTCCAAAAAATCACTTCTTTAAGTATCATTATTTTAATAACCCCACTAATTTCAACATCCCCGAACAGTGAAATTTTGATGGCGAACAGTAGAATTTTATTACATAATCTATAAGATGAAACCTTGAATTTTAAAGGAAAAATACTCCCACTGCTGGGAAAAATCTGTTGAGAAAGTATCAGTTCATTATGTAAAGCCTTTATTATAGCATTTTTTCAACTAAAATAGAATTTGCAGCTAAATGATTGCATCAAAGGCATAAACTTTGCTGCTTAAAAGAAGCAAAAAGTTCATTTTTTTCAATTTTACTAATGTAAAGATATTATCTAAACCTATGTGCTTAAAATTTTGATAAAACTACAAAATCACAATTTGTGACAAAACTTCCAATTTGCTACTTAAACAAGTGATTTAAAAATCACTTATTTCAATAAGTCCCCTGATTGTTTACTGCATTACCATGACAAATAATTAGCATACGTTTTATGATAGATTCTATAGGATATTATTGGAGTTATCTCCTTTATAATGAGTCTTATAATGCATTCTATAGAATGTACATGCCTGTAATGTTATAAGTTTTTCAGTAATGGTAACCTCAAAATATATATCAATTTTTAAAGTACATGCAATTATTGAAATTGATTGAACTAAAAATAATACAAAGAATCTGAAATTAAAATTTACATGAATAACTTTTAACATCAATATATAATTACATATTATTTAATTTTGGAAGAGAACATGTCTTCTGATTGGCTGAAAGTTTTTTTTGTCTATCAGCTCATAGACATAATTTTGTCATGTGACCGTGACGTCATCAACGTTTTATCATGATTTACTCCTTAAAAATGAAATTTATAATTAAATTATAAGGAATGACTGTACACTGGTTATTGTGCACCACATTTTTTTATGTTATTTCGAATAGACAGAAAAAATATTACATTCATTCCTTAAATAACTGATATATTATAATTCAACATTAAAAAAACAAAATGTATGTTCATTTCACATAAAATTTGACATGGCCATAAATAAATGTGAATGTATAGGGAAAACATGTTTGTCAGTTTTTGAAGAGTTACAATTTCCTGTACATTTAAAATCAAATATTTCAAACAAAAAGTCCCCATTGTTTCATACTGACTTAGATGCGAGTTGTTACGCCTAACTACTTGATCTATTAAAAGCAGTAAAATGATGTCTTCCAAAAATTAAATGAGTTCAGAAATTGTTTCCTCCCATAGCATACATATGTTTCATTTTCTGCTTCTTTTGTTGAAGAATCCTCTCTGTCTGTCTATAACACATCTAACAAATTATCTTTGAGACTTACATATAATTTCTTACAGAATCTGCTAAAATAACAACACATCTCTGTCCTTCTTTCAATCCAAAATCTTTGATTGCTTTTAAGGCACAATACATTGTTGCCCCAGAACTGCCACCTGTAAAGATAAATATAATACTAGAAATGGTGGCAGTATAAAAAGTCATTTTTTTGGCTCCATGAATTTGAATCAACAAGAATGCACACATTGTCAAGCTAAGCATCGCCCCATTTGTAGTTCAAAGTATCTGAAAACAGGAAGTCTGACAAATCTGAAATATGCACACTCAGGCCATAATCTTGCCGGCGAAATGACGATTTAAGTCGCCAAAGAATTTTGAAAATCGCTAAATCTCGCCGGCCGACTGACTTCATAGCGAAGTCAAATCGCTATCAAAATCGGTATAAGGGAGACAACTTGTGATTGACAAGTCTCACAGGTAAAAAAAATGGCGGCTGACAAGGAAAATCGAGATTTTCAAAACGACCCAGGACTAATACTGTAAACGATCAAATTAGATAAATACAACGGCGACTTTGAACATCCTCGGATATAACTTTCAAGACTGTTCAAACGGAATACTGACCGCCTGTTTAAGTTATCGTTTTACGATGATTTTCATCAGAGGATGTTGCGTAATCACTCAGCTGATTTGTTTTATTTTTATTACCTACACGAGTCGATCAATTTTACTATTCGGTAGATAAAGGGTGGGAACTAACGGTAGATTTATTATATTCATTGAATAAAAATTGAAATATAAAAGGTAGAAAAATACAGCTGATGGATAATGTGATTGCAAACGTACGACACTCAACCAGATTGTAATCAGCAGTGGATTTTTTCTCATGACCACTTCGTTGATATGGATGAAATTTTTAAAAAAATTTGTAAGAGTTCCGCGGAACCCAGTGTCTCGCCTACTTTTGCTGTTAATCGCAGGCTCAACAAAAATGAGGAAAAAAATTAATAAAAATATTCCTCTCTATAATATCTTTTGATTGTAAGTAGCTTCTGTCCAAGTTTGGTAAAAATCCAGGATAGTTTATGAATCTAATAAATGTTTTAAAAACTTAAACTGCAGACTGTATGTAATATTAACTAGAAGAAAAACAATGTCCATTTATAAGTAAAAAACGGAAAAAATGGAACAAAATTTTAACAAATTTTCCTTCTAGATACTAGCTTTTAATCATAAACAAGCTTCTGTCTAAGTTTGGTACAAATCCAAGATAGTTTAAGAAAGTTCAGAGTGAATGTAATGTAAACTGGCAGAAAAACTAAGTCCATTTATAAGTTAAATACGGATAAACTGGATTTTTTTTACAAATTTTACTTCTGGATACTATCTTATGATCATAAACAAGCTTCTGTCCAAGTTTGGTACAAATCCAGGATAGTTTAAGAAAGTTGTTAAAATTTTAAAAACTTTAACCACAGAGTGAATGTTATGTTAACTGGCAGAAAAACTAAGTCCATTTATAAGTAAAATACGGAAAAAATGGAATTTTTTTTTTACAAAATTTACTTCTAGATACTATCTTATGATCATAAACAAGCTTCTTTCCAAGTTTGGTAGAAATCCAGGATAGTTTAAGAAAGTTATTAAAATTTCAAAAACTTTAACCACAGAGTGAATGTAATGTTTCCTGGCAGAAAAACTAAGTCCATTTATAAGTAAAATACGGAAAAAATGGATTTTTTTTTTTACAAAATTTACTTCTGGATACTATCTTATGATCATAAACAAGCTTCTGTCCAAGTTTGGTAGAAATCCAGGATAGTTTAAGAAAGTTATTAAAATTTCAAAAACTTTAACCACAGAGTGAATATTTGTGGACGCCGCCGACGACAACGACGACGACGACGCCGACGGAATGTAGGATCGCTATGTCTCGCTTTTTCGACAAAAGTCGAAGGCTCGACAAAAATGATAGAAATTAGCTCTTTATCGGATAATTATTTTGCGATTGAAAGATATTTTTATTTATAGACTTACAATCTTTAACTATAATCTTAATTTACAACTAACATAAATGTGCTGGACATTCAATAATGTTTTACAAAATAATGACAAGTGATATAAATTAAATTCCCAGTCATGTGAAATTCATCAGGTTAACTGAGAGTCATATTTTTCTGGAGCTTTTAAAAATAAATTGAGGCAGATGCACATGAATTTAATGCATCATAATCTTGATAATATCACTAGGCTACTCCCTCATGTCCCAATCAACAAATTTTATTTAGAACACATTATGGTATCAATAAATAAATAACAACTATATATTGTCTAAACCTTTTTATTAAGAACTTTCTATATATAAATTCATTGTGTACAATAACATATGAAAAAACTGCAAGTATATCTTTTATTGAATATAAAACAATTTCCTTAGTGATACATGTGATAAGCATGAAAACACGATGCAACCGAAACGGTAATGGAATCTCACTTCTCCAAGAAGTTGACCACTTCTCCCTTCTCTCTCATGGAAGGAGAAGTCACTTCTCCCTCTTAAAAATCCTAGATTAGGCCCTGTGCACACTAATGTCAACTCATTATTTGGGGCAATATCCCTAATGCGCCTCAACTTGAGGAACACAAAAGTTGTGCATAAACAAAAAACTAAAAAATTCAGCAATTTTTATGTTTATAAAGGGACATAACTCAAGAATGGTAAAAGTGTTGCCACCAAATTTCGTACTTAATCTGTATTATGTAGTAATAAGCATTGTGTATAAGTTTCATAACATTTGGTTGAGGGAACCTAAAGTTAGAAGAAGAAAACAAAAAATTTGTACTTGATCTTAGTTTTGTGGTAATGAATATTGTGTATAGGTTTCATAATGTTTGGCTGGGGCAAACTTAAGTTATAGATTGGAAACTAAAAATTTTGCAATCTTTGCAAAATTTATAAAGGGGCATAACTCAATATTGGTTAAAGTGACACTACCCAAATTCAACTTGATCTGTGTTTTATCAGTGGAAGTCAAAATTAAACATTGCATTGTATAAAGCATTGATTGTAGTTGATTCAACTATAATCATGGACAAAGGAAGATAACTCCAATTTAAAAATATATTATAAACTTGATAATTAGAAGAAAATAAAATTTTTGCAATTTTTCCATTTATAAAGGGACATAACTCTAGAACGGTTAAAGTGACGCCACCAAAATTCAAACATGATCTGTGTTTTGTTGTTATAAGCATTGTGTATAAGTTTCATAACATTTGGTTGAGGCAAACTTAAGTTAGAGAACAGAAACTAAAAATTTTGCAATTTTTCCTTTTATAAAGGGGCATAACTCTAGATCAGTTAAAGTGACGCCACCAAAATTCAAATTTGATCTGTGTTTTGTGGTAATAAACATTGTGTATAAGTTTCATAACATTTGGTTGAGGCAAACTGAAGTTATAGAACGGAAACTAAAAATTTTGCTATTTTTCCATTTATAAAGGGGCATAACTCTAGATTGGTTAAAGTGACGCCACCAAAATTCAAACTTGATCTGTGTTTTGTAGTAATAAGCATTGTGTATAAGTTTCATAACATTTGGTTGAGGCAAACTCTAGTTAGAGAACGGAAACCAATTTCGGGACGTACGTACGTACGTAAAGACGGACAAGGGTAAAACTTAATGCCCCCACCGCTACGGCGGGGGCATAAAAATCTCTGTGTAGTGATATTGGACATGTTTCTATTGTCAACAAGTGACTGAGCTTAACCATTTGTGTTAATTTGAAAAGTAGAGGACCATAGAATAAATGTGTAAAAACTATGCAGTTATTAAATGTATGCAAAGTATTAAATTTTCAAAGAACTCATTGTGTGAAAAAAGGGATCTTTTACCAGCAGGAGCCACATCAAGAAAGGATTTTCGGGGTGTGCTAATTTACGGAAAAATGAATCACACTTCGTACCCCGAAAATTTAATCACATATGTGAAAATGTCTCAGCTTCGAAATGAGCCATCATGCATATCCAAGTTTACGATATGGACTGTGCTACAGAGGAAAACGTTACCATTACTGCCTATGTAAAATCAATTACGCATATTGCCCCATTTACAATGGATGAGCTGCAGACCAACAATGAAATCATTATGTTCAGTAGTATTGGAGAAAAGTGTGAAATTTTTTTAAACTCATCAATGTCAACCTGCTGACTAATTAAAAAGTCCTTTCATTCTGAAGTCCCCGAGATGTGTGACAAAAATATTTGTAGGAAAAACAGAGGGACTGACGGACAAACTTAAAAACAGAGGGACAGACTGACAAACTTACAAACAGAGGGACAGATGAACAAACTTACAGAGGGACAATGTGATTGCCATATGGGGATATAAAAAGTAAAATTCTATCAAATAAATACTTTAGATGTTCACAGGACATTAGTCTGTCTGATATCAATTAAATTTCCTATTGTATTATTTTAAAATTTTCAGCAGCTGATTATTCATAACTGGTCAAAAGTTTTGAATTCCATTCTAAAATATTTCAAGAACAACCATAATCAACAGCATCACATTATTCATCACAAAGTAGTCCCTCCTCTCTGCTTAATTTTCTGGACATTATAAACAAACCTTTATCCAATGATTTATTCACCACAAAGTAGTCCCTCCTGTCTGATTAATAGCATGGACATGATAAATGATTCTTTATCAAATGATTTACTCACTAAAAAGCAATCCCTCCTTTCTGATTAATCGCCTGGACATGACAAATGATTCTTTATCCAATGATTTACTCATTACAAAGTAGTCCCTACTCTCTAATTAATTGTCTGCAATGATTTACTCACCGCAAAGTAGTGCCTCCTCTCTGATTAATTGTCTGGACATGAAAATTAAATCTTTATCCAAAATGATTTACTTTACACAAAGTAGCCCTCCTCTCCGATTAATAGTCTGCAATAATTTACTCACCACAAAGTAGTCCCTCCTCTCTGATTAATCTTCTGGACATGATAAATGAATCTTTATCCAATGATTTGTACCACTTGTCTACTTGCTGAAATAAAATATAAGTTAACTGTGAGATGTAATCGGCAATGCCAAAAAACAAGTATCACTATTATTTTTAGCTATTAAAAATGATGCAAAACAAGTATCTTAAGTTCATTTAAAGCACAGAATTTGAATTAATAGTCACAAGACGCCCCATGACTTACGGATCTATCACAAACTGTTGGTATAAAGTCATAACCAGTTCCCTCAACTTCGTATCCTGTCACCTCTGTTTCATTTAACTGTTCTGGTTCAGCAATAATAGAACCTTCTGGATCAACACCAATTATCTAAACAAAATACAAAACTCATATTCATTTACTTGTGCAGCTTACTAATTTTGAAGGCATAGTTATAGCCCTTAGTTGTCCGTATAATTTTTCTTTATAAAATTGTATATATAAGGTCAAATTTCATCACTTCTCATAACAACGTTGCTCTTATAGATCTAGAGTGTTTAACTATCTGTCTTTAATAGGCTAAGTTGTCTTGTCTGTTCATAAAAGTACAATTTCATGGACTATAAAAATCTCATTTTTTGTCAGTACTTCCAGGGAACATGGCCTTGCGGAGTTAATAAACATCTGTGCATAGTGGATTCTTTATGCAGTTCTTCAAATAAATGTATGAACTCTTTCTAAAAAATATTATCAAAGATAAGATTAATTTCAAAAAGGTTTTTAAACCCTTATTCCACACACTATTCATAAGTTAATAAAAATAGTATTTCAAGGACTTAAAAGTAACCACTCACTTTACACTTTGGACATTTCATTTTGATTTTTCTGGCAATTCCTGTCAATGTTCCTCCTGTTCCAGCCCCAAGAACTACCATGTCTACATTTCCTACAATGAAATAAACTTGTTCTGTTTATATGGTATAACACATGCTAATACATGAGATTCATTTAAGAATATATGAGATTCATTTAAGAATATATGAGATTAATCTCCTAAATGTCCTCATATACATACCATCACAGGAATTCAGAATTTCTTGGGCTGTTCCATCAAAATGAGCTATAGGGTTACTGGCATTTCTGTACTGTAAAAACAAAACACATGGGTAATTTACTAAAAATCTAACTCACAAATATGAATTGTTTGGTTTACACAATCTGATGGTGGTTCTTTCATGTGTTATTGTGTTTATAGCTTGCTGTTAATGTATACCCTACACTTCCTATAGGCATAGATATTGCAAAAATAAAATACAATACAAGGATTTTATCTTGTGTGTGGTGCTTAAATTCTTAAATTTAACATTTGGATCATTGATGAAGTTTTACATATAACCCATACCATGATAACTGAAACTTGATAATGATTACATTTCAATGTACAATTATATTTCCAGGTATGAAATCACAGAACTACATGAATATTTTTTCAGGGCTACTTTCATTTCCCTGTTTATGAAAGAATTATTGTTTTATACAACTTCCATTGATATTCTTTTGCTTCATACACTAATAATAATATTTATATACCAATTGTATTTTATAATTCCAAAATATCTACCTGGTCCAGAATATGCGAGTTAGGAATTTCTTCCATTAAACGTTTAGCGACACCAATGTGAGATTCTGGTGAATCAAAGGCTGCAGACGTAGGAGTTCTCACTATCTCAGCTCCAAAGGCTCGAAGGACATCAACCTAAACAAAATATAAAAAATTCTCCCTTAATGTTTTAAAACATAGGTCTCAGACTTCAGAAGGCTTAAGACAGAAACATCTTGCTAATGTCTTAGGCCTTCTGAAGTCTGAGACCTATGTTTTAAAACTACATGGTAGACAGACTTTCTGTTCTCAGTACCAAGCATAGTAAAGTAGCTGTGTTTTCAAAGAAGAAATTAATTGTAAACCTGATTCAGTAAAGAATGAGCGCATGATACGCCCGTCGTCTTGTGTGTGAATTTTTATGCAATAATCATAAATAGTTTCTAACATACGGCCTGACATGCTAAAACCCCCTTTTTTTTTTACAAAAAACTCAATATCTCTAAAATAAAATTTGAATCAAAACCCAAAAGTATACAGATCTTTAGATTAATATAACTAAGAAGTGTGTAAAATTTTAAGCAATAATCATAAATCATTTTTGAGATACAGCGCGACATGTGAAAACCCCCCTTTTAAAAAAAAATAAATCAATATCTCAAAAATAAAATTTTAAATCAAGACCAAAAAGGAATACAGATCTTGAGATTAATATAACTAAGAAGTGTGCAAAATTTTAAGCAATAATCATAAATCGTTTTTGAGATACGGCGCAACATGTGAAAAACCCCTCCCCCTTTTTTTACAAAATACTCAATAACTCAAAAATAAAATTTTGAATCATCACCAAAAAGTATACAGGTCTTAAGATTAATATAACTAAGAAGTGTGTAAAGTTTTAAGCAATAATCATAAACTGTTTTTGAGATACGGCGCGACATGTGTAAAACCCCTCCCCCTTTTTAACAAAATACACAATACACTGTATCTCTAAAATAAAATTTTGAATCATCACCAAAAAGTATACAGATCTTAAGATTAATATAACTAAGAAGTGTGTAAAGTTTTAAGCAATAATCATAAATTGTTTTTGAGATACGGCGCGACATGTGAAAAAAACACACACCTGTTTTAGTTACTAAGTCCCGTAACTCAAAAAGTTTTAATCTTATTTTCACCAAAAAGTATACAGATCGTTTGACCATCATAAGAAACAACTATTTTAAGTTTCATGAAATTTGGATAAGTCGTTCTTAAGTTACGGTGCAACATGTTTACGCCGGACAGACAGGAGGACAGACGATATTTGTATACCATAAATTTTGACGGGCGTATAAAAATAGGTTGATTCAATTTCAAAACCTTGGCATAAATGATGACCTGAAAGAGAAAACAATCATTTGGTACAAGTTGCAATTTTGATACAAATAAGTTATGAATGCAAAATTAGATATGTTTGAAATATTCAGAGCCCAATGCGCACCCCAACCCATACACATCCTCATGATTAGTCAATTAAAACTTGTTTGAGTGAACTGGAAATTACTATAAGTCCTTGTATGAACAATACAACCTATATAGACACTTATCTACCAACAGGATCATTATAAAGGTTACCTTCTCTCTACTCATTTTCTCTGGCATTACAATAATACATCTGTAACCTTTTACTGCAGCAGCCATTGCTAGTCCAATTCCTGTAAAATATTGCATTTATATTTAACAATAGGAATTACCATCTGTCAAGGGAGACAATCAAGAACTTTCCCTGAATATTTTTCAAATTTAATACGATGAGCATTGTGGCAATACTGGGAAAATTAGTTGTAATTTTTTAGAATTTTTCAAAATTTGCCTCTTTATCATTTAAATAAAAGAAGATATTTCTCCATACATTAAATCCAGTATCAAATTTTATAACCAGATGTAGTTTCTATCTAAACAATTTAAGTTACCAGCATCTTTACTTATATTATGAGGTGTAATTGTCAGACCCTTTAGTTACTCTTAACTACCTTGTTTTATCTGCACATCCTGTAGTAGGTTGTGACTCAACACTAACAGTAACCTGCAACCTGTATAAATTTTTACCTGTATTTCCAGATGTTGGTTCTATAAGAACATCTCCCGGTTTGAGAATACCCATCTTCTCAGCATCTTCCACCATTCTATAACCAATCCTGTCTTTCACGCTGCCTCCTGGGTTGAAAAACTCACATTTGGCCACTAAAAAATAAAGTAACATAAAATAGATAGTGTACAATATGGTGTATCAGGCTTGGTTGAAGTATTCACATAAAGAAAGAACACGAAAAGAACTAATAAACATGATAAAAATTGAGAATGCTTCAATGAAATATTGTGTACAGGGATTTCACATATTCCTTCACTTTTCTACACTTTAACACTTGTGTTTTTTAGTACAAAGGTAAACTTTGGCATTTTATGTCTGGTTACGATCCAAACTTAAAGGGACACACTATAAATTAACATAATTAATTTATAAAGAAATCATCTGGTGTGACATAATTCCTTGATCCCAGGATAGATGCCTTAGATTCTGGTCCAATTTCTGTTTGCATCAGATTTGTCAAGCAGTGATCCAGGATCCCAGACTACCCCAATGAATATGTTCATTGACTATTGCTTGAATGCACATAACATGTATATATATATATATATGGATCTTCATGTTGTCAATTGTCTTTTTATATGTATCCATTTTTGTCATTTGCAGATTTAATATTTATATAAAAATAAGGATATGTGATAGGATTGCCAATGAGACTATCAATCAAGAGAACATATGATTATATAACATTTACATGATATAAGAACTCTACTTTTGTGTCGACAGTCAGACAGTAATACTTGAAAACTCACATATTTCACATTGTAGTCCTTCTTTCTTTGGAATGTTGTTGAGTTTGACTAGAGGTGTGTTACCAATCTGATGTAAAATATTTGGTAGAATCTTAGGTTTTGGCGTTCTGAAAAAAAAAAAAAAAAAAAAAACTCAATAACATGTCGTTGGTGAGCAATTGCAATTCACTTGCATCTCTGTCCTATATTTTTTTTCTTATACATGTGTAGTATTTTCTATATGCACTTGAGGAGATATTACATTATCCCTTTGGCTATTAATACCACTAACTTAATTTTATCATGTTTATAGCATACCTTTTTACCAATTTTACAGGCAAGATAATAGCCTTGACATACTGTAACCATGGTAACACTGAATCTTTTTCTGCAGTGTAATTTTCTGAACAATACACTATTGTCAACATTCTGACATATTTTCCCTAAGGTTTCATTTTAGATGAAATAAACAGACAAGTGCAAGTGTGGAGAAGAACTATACTAGTGTAGAGAAGAAATAAATAAGTACATCAACTGAAATGCTGAAGTGTACTAATTTCCCCTGTCAACTTTTAACACATTTTATTGTCAAAACCAGAAAAAAACTACAATGGATAGGACATACGTTTTAAACTAACCAAATCTTCTCAGATACAAAATAACTATTACATGAGACAAAATCCAAAATAGTTAACTCACACAACCTCATCCTGAACATGCATGGTGTTAAGTAACCATCAATCAGTCAATAAGAAATGTATGAAATTGAAAAAGAAAAACATAACATACATGTAGCACAGGGGCAAACAGACATGTTTATATATGACTCTTTCTATACCAATTTAAAAAATATTTTTTGTGACATTACTTACACATCAGCATGTATATGTGGAGTCTCCTCCATTGACTTGGCTTGATGAAATGTACATTTGCTAGGCAGATCTGGGCGTTGCCACTTCCTAAAAGGACTTTCTGAGATGTTCAAGTTTGCAATATTAGCCATCTTTTAGCTGCTGAAAAACAAATTCCTGTAAGATTATCAATTCAGTGGCAGAACATTTTGATCTGTTGTTTGATACTGCAAACACATGTTAAATTTTGATTGTAGCATGATTGTAAATACAGTTAAGTATAAGCAAAGAGTAATTATGCATTGACATATATTTTTTTATTTAAACCAAAATCATCTCCCATTTCATGTAGACTTTAACATTCCTATAAACAGTAATTTGGCCACTTATTGATAAGGTGGAAAATAACTTTATGCTAGTGTTTGCAATGTGATGTTAGCAAGACTTCCTATTGAATCCCACTTCATGTATGTCTGTGCATATTCCATCAACAGGGAAAATTCAGGAAGAATTGCCATGAGTGTAATACTAGTAGTATTGTGGAGTTATTCTAAACTTCTATTTTGTACAGTCAGGGGACTTACTTAAATGAGTGATTTTTTAATCACTGATTCAAGTAACATTGTCTCCACAAATGTTGGAAGCAAGAGTTGTCTTTCTTTAATAATCACCTATTTAAGTTGTACAAATAAATCACTAGACTAAGTGATTTAATTTTATTGTATCTTTAAATATACAATACTAATGATCCAGGGACTAATTATGTTGCTAAAATTATCAGAACCAACATCTGTTGATATGATGACCAGGCATGTCTGGTGATGACCTTGTACTGAATCTGGGATAATGACATGAAAAATCACTGGTTTAAGTATCATACCTCATATTTCTTCCAAAAAATCACTTCTTTAAGTATTATTATTTTAATTACCCGAAATAATTTAAACACCCCCGAACAGTGAAATTTTGATCGCTAACAGTAAAATTTTATTACATAATCTGTAAGATGAAACCTTGAATTTTACAGGAAAAATACTCCCACTGCTGGGAAAAATCTGTTAAGAAAGTATCAGTGCATTATGTAAAGCCTTCATTATAGCATTTTTTCAACAAATATAGAATTTACAGATAAATGATTGCATCAAAGGCATAAACCTTGCTACTTAAAAGAAGCAAAAGGTTCATTTTTTTCAATTTTACTAATAATAAGATATAATCTAAACCTTTATGTTTAAAATTTTGGTAAAACTACGAAATCACAATGCATGACAAAATTTCGAATTTGCTACTTAAATAAGTGAATTTATAAATCACTTATTTCAGTAATTCACCTGACTGTTGTATGTTATTTTGTGTACATGGTGTACAAGGTGTGGCATGTACCTTTTGTTTTTCCACTTATCCAGATGAGATGTGAGAGGTTTGATATGGTTGGGATTGATCCTCCCGTGTGTTTATTAGCCTGTTCCAGTCAGGGAGATTGTCAGTCTTTGTCTTGATATATTTTAATGTTTTTGTTTTTAATTTAGGGGATTTGAAGTTGGTGACAGATCTTTCATAGTCTCTGTTAAATTTATTCCCAAATTTTCAGGCTCACAGTGATTTAGACCTAAACATATTGTATATTTTTGTTGCTCAAAGCATTATGATAATATTCTAGAAGTCTTATGGTTCTTGTCATTGGGTTGCTATCTCATTGACCTACACTCCATATTGTGTTTCATAGTTCATTTTATTTCAATAAATATAAAAAAAAAATTAAAAGTGACAGCAATTGTTAAACATGTTAAACATGGTAAAGAGTTTAAAATTCTAAACAACATAATTTGTATATAAAAGGAGTTTTTGGGGAGTTTAAGGGACAGTGTCTTTTGTACTTGAGTGATTAATAAGTGTTAGTGACAAATGAATGGCAGCTTTGGTAATACATTGTAGCTCAATCTGTTTAAGTTGGATTGTAAAATACATTTTAACTCTCATGACCATTATAGACCTAAATGCATGCAACAGGTAACCTTTTTATAAATTCACCAAATAAATCTGCTAAAATTGTCAGAATACAAATAAAAATAAGGAAATGTGAACAATAACAAGTCACCATACTGCCTTTAACAATGAGCAAAACCCATACAGTATAGTAAGCTATAAAGATTGAAATAAACAATTAATTTCCCCATAGGCGACAATGATAGCCTTTTTCGAGATACAGACTTTAGAAAGCTGATTTTTTTAACGAAACCTTGCTAGAATTTAAGAAAAGTTATTAGGACAGTATTTTTTGGTCCAAAAAATATAGGTTCGCGTTGCTTTTCTTAGCGTAATTTGTACTTATCTCCCATGCCTATCAATTTTGCACTTAAAAGTACGTGTCTCATCCTAGCGTTTAAAAGACATCTCAGTTCCGTTAGGGCTAAGGAAAATAATTTATTTGGCCTTTGGTATAGTGCAGAATGCACGAAGTCTCTAATTACAAAAAATAACGGGCGCACATATCAACCAATCAGGATTAGCTATACTCTTAATTCTGAATACCATGTTATGCTCATAAAATGGCTGCCCCCATAAAATCTAATGGTGTATTGTAACCTATACGCTATTTAATACTTTCTAGAATCATGCAATTCATAGTTCGTTAGATGCATAAATATATATGCCACACAAAAATCATCTTCAAAACGTTCTGGCATTACTCTCTGAATTTTCACAATTTTTTATCAGAGGTAACCCCAGTCAAAAAATGTGAAAAAAAAAATTCTGATTTTTTTAGTAAATGCGGGTACTGCTAAAAAGGGCCTGAAGATAATGTCCACTTTCTCCAATGATTCTTTATATGTCATCAAGTACTGATTATATTGATACCAAAACCGATCCAATATGTAACTACTACGGTGAATTTTGAACAACAGTTTTAAATGAAACCATTTTCGTATAAAAGTACATTTTTGAAAAAGACTATAGCATTTCAAAATGTGAAAAATGTGTAAATATTTGTGTTGAAACATCGAAAACTATTCGTTAACTACAAAATGTCATGCCTATTCTAATTTTTATAGTCTGCCATTCGAGTGAACATTTCAATGTTCGAAGGGGATCATTTCTGTACATTTTCACTGAATTTGGTAATTTCGATAACAGCACTTGGATCGAGATTGTCATGTTTAAAAATCGATTTGTATATCCAAACTCTAGACGTGTATGTGCTTTTTTCAAACAAATCGGCAGAAGTTCAGAAAATGACATATTCTCTCCACAGTAAGTCAAAAGTCGAACCCACCCTTGTTTCTAAGGTAAAACGCTATACAAATATGAAACAGACTATAGCTTAAAAACTAGTTAATCAATAATTCATTTGTCACCAAATAATACGGTTTCACATCAAATATCAAGTAAAATTACTGTTTATGACACTTTTTGAGCACTATGATAAAGAAATGTCGACGCTATATAGATTGAAATAAACAATTAATTTCCCCATAGGCGACAATGATAGCCTTTTTCGAGATACAGACTTTAGAAAGCTGATTATTTTAACGAAACCTTGCTAGAATTTAAGAAAAGTTATTAGGACAGTATTTTTTGGTCCAAAAAATATAGGTTCGCGTTGCTTTTCTTAGCGTAATTTGTACTTATCTCCCATGCCTATCAATTTTGCACTTAAAAATACGTGTCTCATCCTAGCGTTTAAAAGACATCTCAGTTCCGTTAGGGCTAAGGAAAATAATTTATTTGGCCTTTGGTATAATGCAGAATGCACGAAGTCTCTAATTACAAAAAATAACGGGCGCACATATCAACCAATCAGGATTAGCTATACTCTTAATTCTGAATACCATGTTATGCTCATAAAATGGCTGCCCCCATAAAATCTAATGGTGTATTGTAACCTATACGCTATTTAATACTTTCTAGAATCATGCAATTCATAGTTCGTTAGATGCATAAATATATATGCCACACAAAAATCATCTTCAAAACGTTCTGGCATTACTCTCTGAATTTTCACAATTTTTTATCAGAGGTAACCCCAGTCAAAAAATGTGAAAAAAAAAATTCTGATTTTTTTAGTAAATGCGGTACTGCTAAAAAGGGCCTGAAGATAATGTCCACTTTCTCCAATGATTCTTTATATGTCATCAAGTACTGATTATATTGATACCAAAACCGATCCAATATGTAACTACTACGGTGAATTTTGAACAACAGTTTTAAATGAAACCATTTTCGTATAAAAGTACATTTTTGAAAAAGACTATAGCATTTCAAAATGTGAAAAATGTGTAAATATTTGTGTTGAAACATCGAAAACTATTCGTTAACTACAAAATGTCATGCCTATTCTAATTTTTATAGTCTGCCATTCGAGTGAACATTTCAATGTTCGAAGGGGATCATTTCTGTACATTTTCACTGAATTTGGTAATTTCGATAACAGCACTTGGATCGAGATTGTCATGTTTAAAAATCGATTTGTACATCCAAACTCTAGACGTGTATGTGCTTTTTTCAAACAAATCGGCAGAAGTTCAGAAAATGACATATTCTCTCCACAGTAAGTCAAAAGTCGAACCCACCCTTGTTTCTAAGGTAAAACGCTATACAAATATGAAACAGACTATAGCTTAAAAACTAGTTAATCAATAATTCATTTGTCACCAAATAATACGGTTTCACATCAAATATCAAGTAAAATTACTGTTTATGACACTTTTTGAGCACTATGATAAAGAAATGTCGACGCTATATAGATTGAAATAAACAATTAATTTCCCCATAGGCGACAATGATAGCCTTTTTCGAGATACAGACTTTAGAAAGCTGATTATTTTAACGAAACCTTGCTAGAATTTAAGAAAAGTTATTAGGACAGTATTTTTTGGTCCAAAAAATATAGGTTCGCGTTGCTTTTCTTAGCGTAATTTGTACTTATCTCCCATGCCTATCAATTTTGCACTTAAAAATACGTGTCTCATCCTAGCGTTTAAAAGACATCTCAGTTCCGTTAGGGCTAAGGAAAATAATTTATTTGGCCTTTGGTATAATGCAGAATGCACGAAGTCTCTAATTACAAAAAATAACGGGCGCACATATCAACCAATCAGGATTAGCTATACTCTTAATTCTGAATACCATGTTATGCTCATAAAATGGCTGCCCCCATA